AAAAAAAAAAAAAAAGAAAGAAAACGGATTATGAATTCAAGCAGTCGGATCACGAGATAAAAAGGGTTCCATGATTATCTTAAATAACACAGATTGACCTGTTGATGATATTCAACATAAACACACTTGCACAACAAAAGACAAAACTGGAGCGATTTTAAATCTTTTTCGATACAGAAAACTGATTACGTAAGGCTAAATTGGATCCAAACAAACCGCAGTCTGTTTCGCTCAGCTCATCAAAATCTGATCCGTCTCGTTGTTGGTGTAAACATAAAAAGAAAACACCGAAAGAAACTGTAACCGATACTCAAACGAGTCGTGCAGAATACGACAACAAATCATTGGTAACATGATTATCATAAAAAAAGAGGTCAACATTGACTTAACATCCCGTGATCGTCTGAAAACCAAAACAAGCTACATCATGTATGATAGATAAAAAGAGGCTGGAGCAAACATCCATCACTCGCGCAATCTACAAGCAGATTAACAAACATGGAGGGCAAAGGCAATAAGCGTTCCAGCGCTCTCCTCTTCGGCCTTTCTTTCAATTTAATTCTAACGTTGAGTTCCCTTGGTTTCACGTGCTATTCTTTACATCGGCTCGACTCGCGACTAACATCAGTTGAACAGGATTTGCTGGTTGTAAATCATCCATCTCAGCTTGCCAAACGCGTGACTGTTAAACCATCATCTACGCATTCGCCTCCAAGTGGATCGCGAAAGAAGGAAGCAGGCACACAGGCTAAGAGAGCTGTCGAAAGACCATCGATGTGCCGCAAATGCAGCAGCCCCTGTTTAAACGCAAATCGCCATCAAAATGTAAGTTTTTTTTTTTCATTGTATGTAGGCATGGAAACCGTATTTCAAATGTAAATGACGTGATCGCTTAGGTTTTCTTTTGTGCGCCGAAAAAAACTGCATTATTCACTGTCCTTGTTGAATTGATCAATAGATTATTTTCTGTAACTAAAATGAATCCGAAAGGAAATTAATTATATCAGGCGTGGGCGTATTCAACATCAGATACATTAACTTTTAACTCACATTGGTCTTTTCTGTCTTTTGCAATCCAAGTTAACTTAGTTTGCATCTTTAAACAATTCATCATTTCTGGATGGGCCCTCCGCTAGACTACATGAGATAGGAACGTGTTTTCAAGGAACTTCCAGAGAGCATGCAAGGATCTTATGATTTACCTCGAGATTAGGGCTCCCTGCTGAGCGAAATTTTACTGAGCTTTTATTAATGTAATCATGTATGAGTTAACTTTTGTCGCTGATTTGTTCACATCATCGCATGCATCCATGTTCGCAATTGGTGCCAAGGTTAAAACCACTAACAACAGTAGTGTCACACTGCTCCCGTTGGTCATAACAGGATAATTAACTTAAGATTTTATTAAACGAAGGCATGCATTTAGTTAAGTTGCGTTGACATACCAGGTAACCTTGGAAAGTGTAATTCTCTTTTCTTGTAATTAAATGAAACCGAATGAGTCTGCCAAACTCATGCGCTCTCCAAACCGTCAATTGTCAGGACTTATTTGTTTGGTTTAAATGTCAAACACTTTCGCGTTTATGTCCCTGTTTACTGTACGCGTGTAGGTTCGCATTTGCGTGTTTGTTTCTGTTGGTGTTTACGTTTACTTATCAGTCCGGTATTATGCCAGTTTTCGAAGAAGCGAGAACAATGCTCTATGTCACGAGCCATAACATGATCACCATGGCGATGAGCATTTTCAAAACATGAAAAGATCCAAGATACCGGCCGATTACGCGCGGGCAATATCGGGGTAAAAGTGTTCGCTTTAATTTGGCTTTCATTTCAACTTTTCTATGCCTATTTATAGGAAAATTCTTTGTATACGGATGACAACCATTCTTGTACTACAATATTGCACGTCACATGCATGTGCCTAGCTCTAATAGCGCTAGCAATGTCGATGCAACTGTCATCATTCCACGTGAAAAACAAACAGGTATTAAGGAACAGTTTTTCACGTCTTCACCAGTTTATTCAATGTTTAGTAAAATAAGCCTCGATAAGAAAGTTCTTGTGTTTGCAGTAATTTTTGTCTCGTAAATATCGGTTTTGTTTAGCCTGGTAGAATATTTAAAATTCAAATGTGATACAGTCTTTCCTAAAATTCACAAAGACTGCAAAACCAACGTAATGTAGTCTTAGATATAGTTTTCCTTTCGGATTCTTTAAGCCTTATTGATGAACACTGATAAAAGCTTTCATTTCCTAAATAAATCAGGGATTTTGTTTAAAACGCGTCATTGTTTGTTAATAATCATCCCAAAAAAAAGTCTAACCACTGTTTTGTCGCTGACAGATACTAATTATATTACTTTCTTTTATTACTGCAAAATTCAACATTTTTCCAAATTCCTTGGGCAAAATTAAATTAAAATACCTGTGAACTCGGTCACGCTCATACTCCAGAAGATGTTTTGGAATGGTGTTAAAGGCTTTAAGGCACGTCAAGCCTGTTTATATATTAGTAGAACCAAGAACAGTGGTCTGCTTGTGATGTATCAAATGTGTCCGAATCAGTCATTAGCCTAATTGTCCTCAAAGTACAGCTATTAAAAGTACAATTATCTCAGAGTATTGTTTTTGTTGTCATCTTAAAGCTTAAGTTGAAAAGGGGTTTGCGAAACACAGAATATCTGGACACTGGGACTATTTCACGAAGGACATTTCTCTCCCCATTTTTCCACAAATTGCTAATTACAAAGGTTTTTCAAAATTCGCCTGGCTGGTTTAGAGTGAGTGTTTCCTTCCTTTATTTTGTTTGACTTCTCAAGCAATTCAGTGTGATGCCTCGCATCGTTGTAAATGCATGCACTGCTTATTTGAGGGCTGAACTCTAACATTTCTGAAGCCCTGTCTATGCGTCGTTTAATCTGGGGCACTGCTGATCATGAAATGTGACAGTGCTAGATCTAGTAGCTGTGGTTGTCTCTTTAGACTGCTTACAAGTTGCAACATTTGAACCCCATGGAATATTGAGAAAAATGTAAACTACTGTTTATTAAAAGTTCAACATACAATATTATTATTACTTTGATTCTTTAGCACTCTCTTGAACCTGAAAACGAAAAAGACAACAGAATTGATTTAACAGTATCTGTTATCAATAGACATGACAACTTGGACAAATAATGCATTGATCACAACACTTATTTTATTTGACCAAGTCCGGCAAACGGCAACAGATCTTTAACATCCTAATAAATAAGGAATAATAAACAAGGAATAAAATAAACATTGACCCACGTGGAACATACACCATGTAGAAATGTGCATCAGCGCATGTACATGATACATGTGCCCTTATCAAACCTACACTTCAGTCAAATTCCAGCCCTCTCATGCCGATTAAAAAAGAAATTATTTCATAAATCAGCTTACATGATTCAGCTATCACAGAATAAGACTCTCACTTTCTAAACAAGACTAACGCAATATAGTGTGAAAACGAAAAAAGACTCGACGTACTCGCGATACATTGTATGTAAATTTCCAGTCGTTTTTCTGTCAGACATCATTTCTTATGACAGCTATTTTCAATACGTGCTTGCCATTTTTGCTGGCTTGTTGCCACCGATGAAACTCTCTCGACACAGCACTGACATATTGTCGTTTCCAGGAACATTAGTCCCGATATCGAAAAAAATTAGGCAAGCTATCGAAATAAAAACATAAAAACATGTACTTACATTTGATTCCCGTCAAAATAGTGTCGTCTTCTTCGACGGCCGTTCCAAAATGACACGGATTTTATCGACTCCCTTTGCCAAACGTTCACAACCCCCACACAAGGAACGATCGAGAGCGAAGGCTTGCCATGAGACTTTGAAAGTCCCAGATATTAAACGATAGAAGCTAGAACCAAGCTTTTCTGAGAGCCCATATTTTTTTCTTGATTACTTTTTGCAATTTTGGCGTGACGTTAGCCCTTCTTCCAAAACAGGTATTCTACCGGACTGGTAACCTGAGATATATATTCTGACAAATATAACCTGACAGATTTATTCCCTGAGGAGATTAAGTTTTTAAACTTGACCTTTGCACGTTCTTGTGACACAACCTGTAAATTGGCTAGAATGCCCAATGTCAGAGGCAGTAATACCCACTAATGATAACTTTACCTGTTTTTTAAAAACATTTATTAAAAGATATTCTATTCTGCAAATAAGCCTTCTAGCGAGAGCGTGTGGAACGGACGGAAAGAAACATTTGGCAAGCAAAAGGAGGCCGAGCCGAGCGTTGCCATTTCGTTTTGCAAATTTCCCAATGGAGAGCATGTTTGCAGACAATAAGCATTAAAAATTCCTCATTTTAAAGATTGCCACTTCTAAAGATTCTCCGTTTAAAAGATTCCCGCTTATAAAGATTCCCGCTTATAAAGATTCCCGCTTTTAAAGATTCCCGTTTTTATATATTTCCGCTTTTAAAGTTTCCCGTTTTCAAGAATCCCGCTTTTAAAGATTCCCAATTTTAAAGATTCACACTTTTAAAGATTCCCGCCGTTAAAGATTCCCCGTTTAAAAAAAATGCCCATTTTAAAAATTCCCGCTTTTAAAGATTTCCCATTCTAAAGATTCTCCATTTTAAACATTCCCCATTTTAAAGATTCCCGCTCTTAAACATCTTTAATTTTAAAGATTCCCCATTTTAAAGATTTCCCGTTTTAAAGATTCCCCATTTTAAAATTTCCCGTTTTAAAGATTCGCACTTTTAAAGATTCCCCATTCTAAAGATTTCCCGTTTTAAAGATTAAAATGGGGAATCTTTAAAACAGGGAATCCTTAAAAGCAGGACTCTTTAAAATGGGGAGTGTTCAAAAGCAGGACTCCTTAAAATGGAGAATCTTTAAAAACGGAAATCTATAAAACGGAGAATCTTTAAAACGGGGAATCTTTAAAATGGGAAATCTTTAAAATCGGGAATTTTTAAAACAGGAAATCTTCAAAAACGGGAACCTTTAAAACTGGGAATGTTTAAAAGCGGATTCCCCACTTTAAACGTTCCGGCTTTTAATGATTCCCCGTTTTAAAGATTCCAGCTTTAAAAGATTCCCGATTTTAAAGGTTCCTGCTTTGAAAGATTCCCCGTTTTAAAGACTCCTGCTTTTAAAAATTTCCCCATTTTAAGGGTTCTCTATTTTAAAGATTTCTCACATTAAAGATTCCCGCTTATAAAGATTTCCCAGTTTAAAGATTCCCTCTTTTAAAGATGCTCCATCCTAAAGAATCTCGCTTTGAACGATTCCTGCTTTTAAAGATTTCCCATTGTAAAGATTCCCTCTTTTAAAGAGTTCCCCTTTTAAAGATTCCCCCCTTTTAAGGTGGCTCCCTATAGTTTTACGATCGCACGAGCGCTTAGGAGGTAATCTGCGCGCGCTCAAAGGAAAACGTCAGTGTTTTTCGATATTTTATTACGTCAACATGAGCACAAAAAAGCAAAACTGTCAGTAAATTTTCTCGCTTTTCCTTCGGTGAAATTCCGTTAAATTCGGCAGATTGGCAGTAAATGTTTTACTTTAGTCGGAGCTAGTTTTTCAGGGAAATCTGTAAGACCAGATTTTTTTGCAGCGGTAAAAGACACGAATTTGAAAATATCGAAAAAACTGCCTTTACAAACCCTACTTTTTTTCATGTTTAAAATTCGTATCCCACTGGAAGCGATGTGATGTGAAAATTTTGGAAGATTTTACCGAAGGAAATTCATGAAAATCACAAATAAAGCCATAGAAACAGTAAAAAACACATTTGTTTGGGCATTTATAATTCAAGACTAAATCCCCA